AGTTACTAAAGCGTGCGCACGAGTTAATAAAGCGTGGCCTCGTTTTATTTAAATTGAGGGATTCCTGTCCGTGACTCACAGTATCTGCTACCCACAGCTGTTTTATAGAAGGAAAACCTCCTTCACTTTATGAAATCTCTGCGGCACCAGTGGCCTGTACTACGAAGCAGGATTTGCTATTTACTAGGGCTGTCAAACGATTACAATTTTTAATCAGATTAATCACAGCTTAAAAATTAATTAATCATGATTAATCACCATTCGAACTATTTTCCAAAATATGCCATTTATGTATATTGTTGTGAGAATGGAAAGAAGGCGGATATATCCATTTAACATACAGTATCTATGTTTATTATAACATTTTCTGCATGTCAAAATGAAAGACAACCCACACATCAATCATCAAACCGTGGGGTCTTAATTCATTACGTGTTGATTTCTATCAACGGGGGAGTACTTCAGGAAAGTCGACAGAGGGGGGGGCGGCGGCTAGTGGAGTACTTCTTGACCACAGAGTGTGAACGTTGTGATCAGCTGTTTTAGCGCAGTTCTCCAGTGAAGGGGGGGGAGTCTCCCTCCGCAGCCGGTTGGCTAGTTTTGGCACAATTCCGTTGTACAGACCGACGTTAACAGCAGCCCTGTCTGTGCACACGGAGACCGACTCTGTCGTCCGGTGATCTAACCGCCTTCTGGAAAAGCTTCACAAGTACGTCGGTACGCAAATGCGCTTTGTGACACAAGTGACGGTACGCATTTCAGATTACGCACATAACCTGCGTACCAGTTATGTGCACCCCTGTACTACAGCAAAAGTATTCTCCGTCGGGACTTCCTGCAACAACACCACGCCGTTATCAAAGATGTTCTATTGAGAAGTCGATCACTACGTGACAAAAGTTTTCAAAACCGTGGCTACTGAAATCAATCTTACTAACTGCTGTCTGTGCAATTTACTCCGCGAGTTGGCAGACTTTATTTTGCTTACTTTAACATCATTTTTCATGGTGGGGCTAAGCCATTTCTTGGTATGGGTGTAGCCTACCCCAGCCATACCCTGGCGCTGCCACTGGTGGCATGTATGGGGCGGGCCATTCTGCACATGCGTTAAATGCGTTAAATATTTTAACGCAATTAATTCAAAAAATTAATTACCGCCGTTAACGCGATAATTTTGACAGCACTACTATTTACACTATTCATTCATGAAGCATGACGCTGCGCTGTCAGCACGCGTCTCCATGTTTGTGATTGGTCAAATGTTGCTAACCCCGTCCCTTTCACGTGAGCGCGCTCTCAGCCGGACAGAGAAACCCTGGTTGATTTACTGAGTTGATAATCAGCTTCGTAGGACCGCTTATCGACATCGCGTTTGTTAGGGTCAGTTAAGCCGGGTAAATCGAACATATCCAGGTCCAGGGTCTGTTGAACTGGCTTCGTCGTACAGGGCACTGGAGGCAGTAACGTGTAACTCAGCAGAATCTGAGAAGAGCAGCACCAGCTGCAAAGAGCTGTGCCTTTTACTGTTTACTTCACTAGAACCGCTGAATAGAGATCGAGGCTGCTACGTTTAACCACACACACCTATACACACATCGAACTGAGTATTCCCCCTCGCTTTATGAAGGAGATGTCCTGTCACCGGGGCGCATGATGTGTGTATGTGTGTGTATCCGACACCACCGGCATTTGTTTTCAAATTACCACGAACAGCACACGCACACACACACACACACACAAAACGAGGCCACGCTTTATTAACTCGTGCGCACGCTTTAGTAACTCGTGCGCACGCTTTAGTAACTCGTGCGCACGAGTTACTAAAGCGTGCGCACGAGTTACTAAAGCGTGCACACGAGAAAGTAAAACGTGGCCACGTTTTATTTATTTTTCTCTCTATGAACCCTCCAGGGCTCCGTAGTCAATTGTTCAAAGCAACATTATAAAAAGGTCCAGCATAATGGTTATAAGGTTCAACATCAAAGACTTAATCAGAACTTATCATTCAAAGACTAAAGTAAAATGCTATCATACATCTTCTTTGGGCTCATTTCTCATAGGATTACAGGCAAAGTAATGGTAGAATAAACTCTTCTACAAAGACACACTGTTCCATTTGTAGTCCTCCCAAAGGTACAAACTGGGTCGGTGGTGAACACTTAACCCTCTGCATTTAGTATGCTCAGCCCCAAACTGCCTGTTACCCTGACTGCTCTTGTTCTATAGCTGCTTTGAGCAAGGGAAAACTAGCTCTCCAGGATTTTTGCTGAGCATCAGTTTTGTCATATCCACAGAAGTGTAGGTGACAAGCTGACAAGGTAACAAAGCATATATTAACAGGCTAAACAGCAGCACAGCTGATGCTAGATTGACAACACATATACTCTTACGTTTGGGATATAACTGGATTAGCTAAGGTTAAGGTGAACAGAATGACCCCAAAAACCAACAAAGAGCAGCTTCAGCACTTTGTCAGAGCTGTAATGCCTGCACATTCTCCAAAGTCAAACGATGTCATCAGGTATTCCTAAAGACTGAGCAATAACTTTAGTCACAGATTGTGCAGCAGCTGGAGACTGTTTGGGCAAAAGTATAAGATTCTTAGACAATAGACACTGCAGATAAAGTATATAAAACAACTGTTATTTTGTGAAACTACAATTAAAAAGATCACTTTCAAAGAAGCTCAGACTGTGCCTTAAGTTTCACAATCACCTGGAGGGAGCACAGATATATAAAGGGTCAATTAGGGGGGAAATGACGAGCTTTAGGGGGGTTATTAAGGAGCCATAGGGTTTGTTTGTACACCACCTCTTCTCTGTGGCTCCATTTGGAACTGAGTATAAGTGTAAACCCATCAATCACTGGAGAGGCAGCCATATGTAATGTAGACAGGTGTTTAAGAGTTGGGACCACAGAAGACCACACAGTCAACACGCTCATTAGCCTTCAGAGGATCTTTTTTCCATGGAATGGAAAGACGTACAACCGCTTTGTTTTATTTGTGCTCACAGTAAGCCTAATAGTTTTCCTAGAATGTTTATAGAGGACATATGCAACTGTAACCACTAGAGTAGTCACACCAAGAAAAATATAACAATTAAAATGGCTCGCTTGGATATTTCTATCAGACAATTTTGGTGTCATGGGCATAAAAGCATGAAGCAAAAGAATGTTGACTGAATGAATGATAATAAGGACAAAGGCATGCACACATTTAAAGATGATCTAAATGAAGATGAGATACCTGTCAAACACATGCACACAGCGGCAATCATAAAATCAAAACAGTAACATATGAATCCCTACTTCTCCCACAACCAACCTCTTCACAGTTAATTCATTTATTTTTTAAAGATAGGCCATTTTGCCTTTTTATTAAATAGAGATGACAGACTGGAATAGGGAGAGAGTGGACAACAGCCAAGGGCTGCAGGTGGGATTTGAACCCAAGGCACTAAATTGGCTTCCCGTGCATCTTAAATTATAAACAAACATTTAGTCAATCCATAAAACCAAGATAGTCCTTTAACAGCACTATGTAGAACATGATGTATGGATAAGCTTTCTGCTGTGTGGCTTCAGATACACTGGATCATGTATCATCCTACATATTTCTATATAGACACCACTTATAACCAAGCCAAGGAGGGTTTGCAGGACATGATGTCATTATATCTTGCCATACACACACATACCAAACTCTGTCATTAATTATTGGTTGGCATAAAAACACAAAAGGACAATCAAGGTACCCCCTGCTGCAAACAATGGTGTAATTATGGACAATAATCTATGAGTGACAGCACCCTCCCAGCCCCCACTGGGCTTAAATTGCCTAATAATTCATTCTAATGCATAATTTGAAGCCCTCTCCCAGCTTCTGTGACCACCGATCTTCTCCTGTGTTGTGTTGACAGTTCATTAGGGGTTTTTACTACGATTGTGGTGCCTTGGTAATGAAATGTCAGGGGGGTGGGGAAAATAGCAGGCAATGTACCAAACACCAAACCACCTTGGAGAATGATGAAAGTCTACCTAAACTGAGGCAACATTCAATCCATCAAACAAAGGAAGAAAGGAGAATTGGTGGTTAAAATATATTTTTTTAGTAGAGCAAGGAAATAAAGATAAAGAAAACATTTAGCCAAATGTTTTCTGGCATGCCTTTTCAAACAAGTATGCTTGTAGTAAACTAGTTAGCCAACCGCTGAACATTATCTGACTATCCTTTTTCATAAGAAAAGACAAAAACAGATAAAAGCATATGTACGTATAGTGTATGTGGCCGGTTACTGAGTGGCAGCTTACCCAAATAAAGTTGGTTCAGAAGCCTTCATGCGTTGCTCTTTACAGGTTTGGATATTGACATTGTATGGCCTGTTTTCAATGCACTATCTGCAACCATTATACAGTACTGTGTCTACTTACTGTGTTTAGGCCTGCTAGACCACTCTCAATCAATCATCAAGATGTTACGAGGTTTTCTGGACATTTTTATTTGTGACCGTCAGATACGCGGTATTCTGATGGGTTTGCTATTGATTTTCAATTGGCTATGATTATTGGATCTTCTCTGCTAACAGGATATGCAGAGGTGTGAAATCAAGGACAAGGTTGCAATAGGTCAACGTAATACGTGACAATCTGTTTCTACTACAGCGCTGGGATCCAACACCAATAATACTCTTGCTATCTTTTCTCGAATGTATCAGTGTATAAAACATATTCCTAACAATGCTGTAACTTTAATATCAAGACATGTCAACCATCATTTAGTGTGCAATTTAAACGCCACAACCATAGTTTAGGTATTGGTTTAAAATCTGCCATCAAAATGTTTTTGTTTTGTTTTTTTAAAGACTGGGGATCATAAAATACATGTACTGTATGGCTGCTACTTGCTAGTGGGACGCCTCTTGAATGTTTCCAGGCCACAACAATTGTTAGGTTAACAATCAAGAGTTATCCTGGAAACTCAACAAATGTTCCACACTTACCTTGTGTACGCCTTCAACTTCAAAACCATTGAGGTTTGCATAAAGTGAGTGGTGCCTTTTCCCTAACAACGATGTAGTTGTGATATTAGTTGTGGTTGGGACTGCCTTGGCCACAAGCCCATTTTGCTTATCCTGCTCTTCGGGCCCCGTCAACTCCGACTGTTGTTGCCCGAGAGCTTGGTCCACCTCATGGCTCTCCATGTCTGTGTGTGCTGGTGCAGGCTCTGGCTGCTCAGGCCGAGTGCACAGGTCATACATCACTCTGTGTCAAAGTTAAACAGCACAGACGAGATCAATATGACAAAATGAGGTGCCCAGCCAAGACCGGGCCATCTCAGACTTTTCATTTGCTGGTGGAGAATTACATGGATCAGCTGTGACAGACTGGCTTGAAAATGATAAAGATGTCACTGTCCTTCCATTCTCCAGCAGTTCATAAGCTGTAGTGGTTTGTTTACAGCTAAAGTAAGGTGTCTGAAGCCAGGCAAAAGACTGTTATTGTCATGGTTGTCACTCAACCTCAAGCGCCAAATAAGTAAATCCTTATAAAAAGGGAGAGTTTAACAAAAACAGCACTGGTAAAGTTCCGTGCCTGAACCATTTTAAAGCAAGAGTCTCTATGGCATATCCAAGGAAAACGTAGAAAAGATAAATCAGGTCCTCCTTCCTCTCTGCGCTGTGACGTTTTCCAAAATGAGGACAATCAGCTCCAAAGGGACCTTACATATTCTCGGCCTCATGTGTGGTGAAGGCAATTTAGTGAATGTCATCGTCCTGGTAGCATTCTTGAGCTTTCTCTAGTTCATTCAGATCCAGAGTCCTGCTCACTGCGCTGTCAAAGCCAGTTTTTTCATGCCTTTATGGCTCTGCCGTCTGACGGGGGTTCATCACAACTAGTTCCAGAAAATGGAAAAGACACAGCAGTTCACTTAACGTGCGTAACGCTGAAACAGTGCATGTAGGCCCAAACGAAATAGCAAACGAGAAAAGACGTGCGATGGACGAAAAAACAAACAAAAAGAGAACGATTCAACTAAGGGGTTTTCAATCCGGTCCCCGTTCTCTCAGTGACGCTGAGATGTGGGTGGCATGTTGCATCTTCAGCTGGGAGTCCGTCCTCATTGATGCTGCTGTGTCAAAAAGCATTTCATCCAGATGCAACAAGACTCGACAGGCTGGATAATCCCATCTCGGTTACAGCGCAATAAAGGTGAAGAAAGAGGATGCAGGGAGAAATGTGTGTGTGTAAGACGGCGAGTGTCGCTGTGAGGAGGGGGTAGGGAGAACTGCTTCCACCGTCCTATCACAAAAAGGCAGGCTTTGAGACGGGGCCCAATCATTACCGCGACTAGGGCTCGTTTCCATGGAGATGACGCTGGAATGATGTTGGCTGCCTCTTGAACAATCAATAGGCGGTACACACTGCAACACAGGGAGGCTGCAGGAGGCAGGCGGGGGAACAAGTGTGTCCAGTTCAGACTAATTCTGATGTTTTACTGCAGTTGTGCCCCAGAGAAGAAATAAGAGGTCAAACAAGGTACTTAAGGCTACTCATGTGTTCATAATTTAGCCCTGGGCAGGGACATTAACAAAACAAATAAAGCAGTAAGTGTATAGCCAATTATGTTACAACTCAATGATGGTTTACAAGTAACATGTAAGCCTTGCTGGAAGGTATCATCATTCATCTATCTAGCCATCTATAAAATGTGCAAAGCAGTTAAATAAATCGCCTTAACACAACCAGAACTTGGCATGGGAGGGGGAATACTTTGTTAAGTTATTTGGAATAGCTTCTGGTTAAATCATCAGTCAGCCATGATATTGTTAGTGAAGCATGTGTATCTCACTCCATTTTACTGTGAGTGTCCAATCAGTACTATAAATGAGCAATGCTAAAGATATGTCTGACTCCTAACTGCTTCCATTATCAGCTCCAGAAAGATTTATGTGTTTTAATCTTACATTTACGAGCGTAACATGGCATTTAACTTGTCCCAGGAAAGCAGGTAATCCTTCTTAAAGAGCCCTTTGGAACTGATGAAATATAAAATATAAATATGCACATTGTCAAATCTACTTTACAACACACTCATTACATCCAACCTAACTCCTCTGCAGCATGTCAAAATGCACTTTCAATCTTTGTGCGTGCTTTGTTGCAGACACAAAGCTTACTAAAGTGGTAGAGGATCATCAATCTACCTACTGTGCCTTCAAAGGTCAATGTTAGAAAACCCATGCCTGGGTGCTGCAAAGTCAAAAATAGACATTTGTCAAAAGAAAATTCCACTAGCATTTTTCTACAATTCCTTCAACGCAGAGATCATTTAAAGTTGCACACTGTGAAAATGAAAGTTCATACCCATTTAAGTGTTCCTATACCCATGTACAGTATGTTCTCTCAGTAACAGGAGAAAAGGTTGTTTTTCATAGACAGTGAGGTTAAAAGAAGAAAGAAGAGTCTTGGCTTGACAAATCACGCCCAAAGAAATTAGCTTTTAGTTCCCCCTAGCCTTGCATTTTACAGCTTCAGTATATTCCCTCATTAATTACAGCGTGCTCACAAGACCATGACTTTATAGTAGCCTAAAGACTGAAACCAACCCTGACGTGAACTGCACTGAGCATTATTTCTATTCTGCTTCAGCTCCTCTGAGAATATTGTACGCTCTAACAAGGGAATAGAAATGCTGACAGGGAAAACAACCAATAAAAAACTCAATTGTAAAATTAATTTTGAAGACTGGAACAAGCAAGTGTACTTATCACACGTGTACACAGAAAACATTCAGGATATTTCACTGAGCATAAAACTAAGAACAGCTTCTAGTCAGCATAACCCTATGCACGTCAAACAGCATACTGTATGCTCCGTACAGATTTGAGCTGCAGACAGGTCCATCATGGCTCAGCGGTATTGACATCCTTTCACACTGACATATTCTGACAAGGTCTCCCTGTCTGCCTGTCATGAGCCTGAAAAGCCGGATGCTGGATGTTCTCCATTAAATTAGAAGAGGAAGGAAAAAGAGAATTATGTAAGATCGTTTGGAATTTAGCGAAAAGCTAAACAGGAAACTTTAATAGCTATACGATAAAAATCCTGATGCACCAAGGTCACTCTTCCTTTTCCTAATTGCCTGTTGCTGTGTTGTTATACAACACAATTTTAATAATTGATTTTCCTCGATGTAATCTTAAAACAAAAACAAATAAAAAAATTATCCAACAGCTTATGAAGATAAAGCAAAAAAAGTGGCATTCTAGAAATGAAACATTTTTCAGGTTTATGTTATATAAAATATATACTATTGTGTATTACAGTAGATGCATTTTCAAACAGTTTAAAAAGACAATTCGAAACTCACATCAATAATGGAGTCCATTCTTGTTAAAAGGGGACTCCCATTTGGATTTAAGACATTGACTTCGCCCTGATGCAGACTGCGGTGCAAACCAGGGGAAGAAACATGCAAGAAATGTGAGTCTTGGCAAGTGAGCACCGCTGCTTAGACACAGTGGGAGCTTTGATTAATTATTCAATTTCCTCTCTGTCAAAACTTCAATCCAAAATGTAAGAGATGGAAACACGTTGACCCACTTCTGCCACTCCAACCACAGGCATAAACAGATCCACCCACACAGTCCAACTCCTCCTCATGCACAATGTTTCTTTTCTGACAACCATAGCACTGACATCACCAAATATTTTGCACCACACCACACCAGTTGTTTTAAATAATTTGTACATCATAATGGCAACCTAAAAAGCGGCAACCTCTTTTTGTTTGTACTAGCTTTAGCCCAATTGCTTATCAATGTAAACAAACTCTTTATAGAAATGTTACCAGTTGTTCAGTTCTCCATGTTATTGCTGCTGGCTACAGTATGCACCATTTGCCACAAATAACAGAAAGATGCTATCATAATGGCCTCAGGTGTTTTGTATAGAATGTGGACTGTGATCATAACAGCTCCTGGTTCAGGCTATCCCAAGGATCCATTAATAAAAAGTCTTAATTGATTATTGTTTCCTCCGCCAATCATTCAAGTGGCAGTTTTTTGTCTCTCCAAAATGTAGTTAATATGGTTTATCATATTTCAGATTTGTGTGAAATTGTGTGTGATTTGTGTGAAAAATGTGCAAATGAATTCCTGTGCAAAAACTTCTTTTTTTGTGAGGTTACACTGAAATTGACCTTTGAAATGTTGCCACTTAATCAAAAGTGTTCATCATTCAGTAGTGGATGTTTGTGGAAAATTGAAAGGAATTCCATTAAAGCAATCCTTAAATATCGTTAAATAGAGAATGGGATGGACGGACAGACTGACAGAATGAGGAGATATAAATATATTGTCGAAAATAAATGCAATGCCACAAGTTCCTTAGGGATTCAGAGTCATACACTACTACACTTCTATATTCCAACACTGTTACAAACCTAAATGCACACTGATGCAATTGCTGATTGGGTATCAGAGGAAATGCTAGAAATACTTGACTTTCTTACTGTAAGGGAAACTTCTGCAGCAATGGAGAGTCAGGACTCAGATGCCCCTTTCACACCAATGCGTTTTCAGCTCCGGCTCGGAGCTGGAGCCTGAAAAGTACCGTTTTTCCTGTTCACACCGCAGAGGCGCCGCCTCTTAGCTCCGGAATCCGGTTCACTTCCAGCTCCAAAAAATTGTCGGTCTAGAGGCAAGAGATTCGGAGCTAAGAGGCGGCGTTGCTTGCGGCGTTGCTTGCGGCGTTGCTTGCGGCGTTGCTTGCGGCGTTGCTTGCGGCGTTGCTTGCGGCGTCGCTTACGTCTCTCTTACGTCGAGGCAGGGGCAGGGGCAGGGGCAGGGGCAGGGGCAGGGGCAGGGGCAGGGGCAGGGGCAGGGGCAGGGGCAGGGGCAGGGGCAGGGGCAGGGGCAGGGGCAGGGGCAGGGGCAGGGGCAGGGGCAGGGGCAGGGGCAGGGGCAGGGGCAGGGGCAGGGGCAGGGGCAGGGGCAGGGGCAGGGGCAGGGGCAGGGGCAGGGGCAGGGGCAGGGGCAGGGGCAGGGGCAGGGGCAGGGGCAGGGGCAGGGGCAGGGGCAGGGGCAGGGGCAGGGGCAGGGGCGGGATCAACCTCCTGAACAACAACAAAATGCCTGCGTTTTATCCAGTTTGTACACAACGATGGAAAACCTCAAACTGAATAAGCAGCAGTGGTCCACTGAAGAGACCAGCTACCTAGTGGCAATCTGGTCTTCCAAAGAAGTCTTGCATTTCGCATGTGATGTTTGTAAAGTTTCAAGTAAAGTCGTCCCTTGTAAAGTCGTCCGATGCCTTTCATTTAGTTTCGTAAGAGGATAAACAAAGCGAACAGCGCTTCAATACAATTGGCTATTGTTGTTGTTGTCGATGTGAGGGATTTCCGCGCGGTTTGGATTTTATGAAGCAGGCACGTAAACGGTGACGTCATGACGCAGCAGCGGCAGCTCTGGGCGGTGTGAACAGAGCGGGAGCAGAAAAGGGAAACCGGAGATGAACCAGAAAAGCTAGAAAGCTAGAAAGGGAAAAGCGCTGGTGTGAAAGCCGCAACAGAGACACGAGGAGAGTTGGAGCTTTGATGTCAAACACTGATGGTTTATTAGGAGTATCGGCCGGAGAAATTCACATCACAAGTCACAGCAGCCAGAGGTTCTGACTGCACGGGTAGAGTTGCCACATCAATTCTGCAGAGCCTCTCTCTCGATAGCCCTTTTAACTAGTTTACAGAGAGTTAATCAACATATTGGGGGAGATAACGTAAACATCTGGGAACACTGGAGATAGCCCCAACATCTGGAGACACTGAGTCACTTGTCTGACCCTTAGGCTCGAAGCCAGCGTTCTCACAATCATAAACCATCTGTGACCGAGAGTTGACCGGTCATAAACTGGGAATAGCTGGAGCAGCCCATTCCTTAAGACAGATAACAGACGTCAGGGTTGGTCATAAACGTCAACAGGCAAAAAGGTTAGATATCTAAAGAATAAAGGAGAACTATTCTCGAACACTTACTAACTTAATTTTAGAAGAATGTGTAGAATGTGAAGATATCAAATAGCTTACCTCCATGTTTCTGTCCATGCATTTGGGGGGCGATGACTCATCTGACCCAGAGGACTCAGCGCAGTAGGGGGGCTGGTGGTCCCAGCCTGCATGGGGAGCGCTGTGAGGGTGACAAATAGTCAGCGAGCCGCTCTGACAGGTGTCCACGACTGCAGTGGAGGGGCAGGGGTCAGCTGCCCAGACGGCCCTCCCTGAAGGCAGCTCCCTCAGATCTTGTTTGGTGTTCTTCTTCAGTGAGTGGGAGGCAGTATGAGGCAAGGCTC